CACCATGGTGATTTCGGCCCATCATGAACTGGGTGTTATCTGACCCACCAACCCATGAGGTTGGGTGTGCACAGTGGCACTCTATCATCAAATAAAAGTGGTATATACATGACCAGGCTCAAGCAGGCCCTGAAGAAGCAACTAAGTTACATGAAAAAGAGGCCCAAATGCCCATAATCCCCACTTCTGCCACAGTGCCTTCTCTCTCCTAGTCTGCACCTATCACTTCATGAAAAGTTCCCTAGATCACTTGACAGAGGAAGAGAAGACTGGTTTCATTTACAGATGGTTCTGCACAATATGCAGCCTCTACCCAAAAACGGACTGCTGAAGCTCTGCTGCCCCTTCCTGGGACCTCCCTGAAGTACAGCAGTGAAAGGAAATCTTCCCAGTGAGCAAAATCAAGCAGTGCACCTCATTGTTCATTCTGTTTGGAAGAAGAAATGGCCAGATGTGCAACTGTGTACGGATTCATGGGCTGTGGCCAATGGTTTGCCTGTATGGTCAGGAACTTGGAAGGAACATGAATGGAAAATTGGTGACAAAAAAATAATTTGTGGAAAAGGGATGTGGACAGATCTCGCTGAATGGCAAATAAGTGAAGATACTTGTATCCAGTGTAAATGTTCACCAAAAGGTGACATCAGCAAAAGAGTATTTTAATAATCACATGAATAAGATGACCAGTTCTATGGATACCTTCTTCCCTAGCCACCTGTGTCATCACCCAACATCAAGGACAAAGTGGCCATGGTGGCAGGGATGGAGATTATGCATGGGCTCAGCAAAATGGACTTCCATCCACCAGGGCCATGACCTTGTGGTCATGGCTATGACCACTGCTGAGTACCCAATATGCCAGTAGCAGAAACCAACACTGAGCTCCTGATATGGCGCCATCCCCCTAGGTAATCAGCCAGCTACCTGGAGGCAGGTTAACAGAGCTTCCATCAGGGAAAGGGAAGCATTTGTTTTTACCGAAACAGACATTTATTCTGGCTACAGATTTGCCTTCCTTGCTCACAATGCTTCTGCCAAAACTCCCATCAGTAAACTTACAGAATTCTTTTTCTACTATCTTGGTATTCCACACAGCATTGCTTCTGACCAAGGAACTCACATCACAGCACATGAAGGACAGCAGTGGGCCTATGCTCACTGGTCTTATCATGTTCCCTACAATCATCAAGTACCTTGTTTCATAAAACAGTGGAATGGGCTTTTGATGATTCAGTTACAGTGCCAGCTAAGTAGTAATACCTTGCAAGGCTGAGAGAAGGGTTCTCCAGAAAGCCATATAAGCTCTGAGTCGGCATCCAGTACATGGTGCTCTTTTTCTCACAGCCAGCATTTATGGGAACAAGAATCAAGGGTTGGAAATGGGAGTGGTACTACTCACTATTGTCCCTAGTAATTCCTTAGCAAAACTTTTCTTCCTGTTCTTGTGACCTTACTCTTTGCTGACCTAGATGTCTTAATTCCAGAGGAAGGAATATTTTTTTCCAGAAAACACAACACTGATTCCATAGAATTGGAAATTAAGACTGCCACTTGGCCACTTTAGGTTCCTTACACCTCTAAATCAACAGGAGCAAGAGTGAGAGTGGAGGTGGAGATGCCACACACTTTTAAACGACCAGATCTCAAGTGAACCCAGAGCGAGAGTTCACTTATCAACAAGCGGATGGCCCAAGCCATTCATGAGGGATCCACTCCTGTGATCCAAACACCTCCCACCAAGCTCCACCTCCAAGACTGGGGATTACATTTCAACATGAATTTGGACAGGGACAAATATCCAAATTATATTACCCTGTGATTGAGATCAGTGGAAAACTACAGCAATCCAATTCAAGCAGGACTACTAATGAAGAATGACCCTTCAAGAATAAAGGTTTGAGTCACCCTAACAGGTAAAAAAACCACAAGCAGGTAAGGTGCTTGCTGAAGGTAAAGGAAATACAGAATGGTTAGGTAAGAATATACATATAATCCAGTCTGTCACTGATATACATTTGGGTTGGTTCCAAGTCTTTGCTATTGTGAATAGTGCCACAATAAACATACGTATGCATGTGTCTTTATAGCAGCATGATTTATAATCCTTTGTGTATATGCCCAGTAATGGGATGGCTGGGTCAAATGGTATTTCTAGTTCTAGATCCTTGAGGAATCGCCGGGGCCTGTCGTGGGGTGGGGGAAGGCGGGAGGGATAGCATTAGGAGATATACCTAACATAAATGACGAGTTAATGGGTGCAGCACACCAACATAGCACATGTATACATATGTAACAAACCTGCACGTTGTGCACATGTACCCTAGAACTTAAAGTATAATTTTAAAAAAGAATATACGTATAAATACTAGCTACAAACACGCAATCGGTTACAGAAATAAGGACTGTAATTGTATTTCCTCCTCATTTTGCTAAGAATACATCTATGTGTGTGTTTGTGTGTGTGTAATATCTTTGTTTTCATTTCCCTGTTATTCCCTCATCATGTAACATAAGATGCTCATATCAGAATTTAAGCACTGTTGATTTTACATCATAGTATTTAAGTTATAGAATATCAAGGAGAGGAGCAAATATCACTCAAGGACTTTACCTCCTTTTCTGGGAAAGAGATTGATGTGTTTTCCAGTTGTACACAGGATACTTGTATCATGTTAGGTAGAATATGACCTAGTTATTATCTTCATTTGAAAATTAAGTATGGTTTATGTAGCTATGTATAGGTGCCAAGTTGACAAAGGGTAGACTTGCAATAGTTAATTTTATGTGTCAACTTTTCCAAGACATGGGGTGGTCACATATTAGGCTAAGCATTATTTCTGGATATGTCTGTGGGGAGTTCTGGATAAGACTAAATTGGTAAGCCAGGTAAAGTAAAATGCTCTGCCTATGGTGGGCATCATCCAATCCACTGAGGGCCTGAAAGAACGAAAAAGTAGAGGGAGGAAGAATTTCCTCTCTCTGCCTTTTCTTGCTCTTGGACTGAGACTTACACCATCTGCACTCCTGGTTCTCAAGCCTCCATACGTGGAGTGGAATTTACATCATCAACTTTCCTGGGTCTTCAGTTTGCAGATGGCAGATCCTGGGACTTTTCAACCTTTATAACCACATGAGTCAATTTCTTATAATAAATCTCATTATGTACATACATATTATATATTTATATATTATATATAAACAAATATATATTTATATATCTACAAACTGTGTATATGTGTATATATATAGACAGATTCTGTTTCTCTGAAGAACTGTAATACAAGTCCCTGATTCCCATGTCTTATTTTATTCAACTCCCACTTCTACTAAAATAACTCCCATTAGATGAATATTAGTGGATATCTTAAAATGTAATTTAAATTTGCAAAACATAACCATATTATATTAATGTTAAAACTCAAATAAAATTGAAGTATATCTTGTTATTAAAACAACTTGTATCACTGGAAAGTACACAACAACAGAATATGTATGAAAACAAAAGGGTTCAATCTAATGAGTCAGTAACTGCAAATTTCCCTCCATTTTAAGTTTTGAATATTAGATTAAAATCATAAAACTTACATATTTTGAATTATTAATTAGTGGAGAAATTTTTTTAATTATACAATCAAATTTTTTACTTAGTTTCAACTCCCTTTTCTTTGCCTTTTAGCTCTGCCTGCTATCTTGAAAAACAAGTAGATACTTTCATTAATAAAAATTCCAAAAAATAAAAAATAATACATTATATTCAGTTGGAAATATGTATCCACACTATTTATTTTTACTCAAGCTATAGGCCCATAAAAGAATCTTTAGGCTGGGTACAGTGCCTCATGCCTGTAATCCCAGCACTTTGGGAGGCTGAGGTGGGCACATCACTTGAGGCCAGGAGTTCAAGACCAGCCTGGCCAACATGGTGAAACCCCGTCTCTAGTAAAATATAAATTAGCCAGGCATGGTGGTGCTTCCCTATAATCCCAGCTACTCAGGAGGCTGAAGCATAAGAATCACTTGAACCCAGGAGGTGGAGGTTGCAGTGAGCCAAGATCATGCCACTGCATTCCAGCCTGGGTGATGGAGCAAGACTCTGTCTCAAAGAAAAAAAAAACAATCTTTAATCCTACTAAATACTACTTTTTTAAATTTTTCCTTTCAATTTGTTGATATCTTCTACAAAACATAGAATGTTTAGATGCGACCACTTAAAATCTTAATTTTTGCTGCTCTTAATCCATTTTCATCTGCCATAAATATTTTATAAGTTTTTTTTTAAATTCTGCAATATATAGAACAGCTCTCCCACAACAAATAAACAAATAATTATAGGGCTTAAAATGTCAATAGTGCTAAAACTCTATTTTAGATGTAAAAGGCCTTTAAAAAATCTTATAAAAATTATAGAATGTTTAGCAGCATCCCTTGCTTCTACCTATTAGATGACAATAGCAGCTCCACATTTGTGACAACCAAAATGTCTCTGTGAAATGTCCCCTGTGAGACAAAATTGCCTCAACTTGAGAACCACTAATGTATAGACAGTTAAAAGAGAAACTACTACTACCAACAGCTCAGGCTAAACTTACACACAAAGTGTGAAAACAAAGCACTAGACCACACGACCACTAATGCATGTCTGACAGGAATCCACTGGGAATTATTTCAATACCTACCTATATAATCTTATTTTCATTAGGACAGAAGATAATATTTACAGTTATAGTCTTTTTTAATATCAGTTTTTAAAAAATGTTCCCAGTCTCATCCACGAAAAGAAGTAAAGTTGATGGATCCAAAATGGAATCTAGACTGACAAATTTGAACAACAAACCAGTCTAACTTTACAATTTACTAAGAAGTGAATGATTCCCTATATACTTTCTAAATGTCTTAATGTGTAAAGTGCGTTTTTTCTACAGTGCTATTAAATGGTAAGCTAATGATCATAAAGCAGCAGTGTGTTATAACTACAGCACCATTTACCCATAAATACTGACCATACTACAGTTGCTATTTGCCGAAATGCATTTCTTGTCATCACACCATTGGCACCCATTTGTATTGGCAGTACAGCTGGCACAATCTGCATATCTGTAACATCTGTCATCAGAAGCAGCTATAATACAAATGGGAAACAATACATCAGCACAAAAAAGAAAATCTTACTCTTCTTAATTTACAATATCTATTTAAGAAGCATTAAGAATCACTAAGACATTTTTTAAACAAAGAAATGACCTTCAGTTTCAAAGTAAGTTTTCTAAAGATTAAGACAACATTCGTAGTTCAATTGTGTTTACAGGATTTTTGAGACCTTTTACCCCCATTTTAATTATTCAATACACAAGGATCCTACAGTCACTTTAAATTCACACATTTGGGCCAGGCGCGGTAGCTCATGTCTGCAATCCCAGAACTTTGAAAAGCCAAGGCAGGCGGATCACTTGAGGTGAGGAGTTGAAGACAAGCCTGGCCAGCATCACGAGACCCATCTCCACTAAAAATACAAAAATTAGCCAGGCGTGGTGGCACATGCCTGTAATTCCAGCTACTCGGAAAGCTGAGGCAGCAGAATTGCTTAAACCCAGGAGATGGAGTTTGATCACACCACTGCACTCCAGCTTGGTTGACAGAGTGAGACTCTGTCTCAAAAAATAAAATAAAATAAATAAATTCACATATTTTAGAGAAGGTCAAAGGATTTACAGACATTTTACAGAACAAAGGGTATTACTATACACACAAAAGAAAACATCATAACAAATACAGTTTATCATCCTTTTTAAAGATATCAAAAGACATCTGAATTAATACACATTAGTAAAACTTAAAAATACATTTATTAATTATAGCCTCAAAAATGTTTAACTCCTCCCATCATTTAAAACACCAAACAATATTTATCCAAATAGTTAATTAGCTAACTGATGAATAATTGACTGGTAACTTTTCATAAGTCTCATTTATTTATTCACCATTCTATAAGAAATATAATACCAGAACATTAGTCATGAAATGCTAGAAAATTTTTTTACTTTATGGTGTGGTTTAGCAATAATTCAGGAAAAAAAAAATACCACATGAAAAATAAATTATTTCATTTTATTTCTTTAAATCTAACAGTATATCTTAGAAATGATGTATTGGAAAGTATTTTAAAATTATATTAGAAAATTCATATATATGACCATGTCATATATGAAATATTGATATACACTATATATACAGATTTCAAAAATAAAACTAAAAATAGCTAATAAAGATATTAAATTATTAATCACTAGATTCAAACATTAGAATTCCTAATTAGGGTATTACAAATTTTTCATTTCTGTAGCTACTAAAGTAATTCTTATAAGCAGAAGACATTTCTACTTCTGGAGAAGAGAAATTTTGCTGCCAGAGAGAGGAAAAGAAAAAGAAATTTACCTGTTTTAGGAGGGCACTTTGCTCTAACAATATTATTAGTATTCCCAGATTCCCAAGATTCACAGTGATTTTTATTCCAAACACATTTTATCCCTGGACCAGCATTTTTACAAAGTTCTTCATCTCTGAAAGCCTTGCAATTTGGAGGCTTGTATACAAGGATATCATTAAGGAGTACACTAGAAAATCCCCCAAATATATACATGGACCTATTAAAAACAAAACAAGAATCTTAAAGAAACACTGTTAAACGTCTCTATCTAATGTTATTTATAAAAATAAGCGTATATTTAAATATACATTTTATACTATTTTAAGTACTTCTTTAAGATCCTATTTCTAGCATACAATATGATATAAAAACACCAGAGGAAGTACTATATAATTTCTTGAAGACTTTCCAGACAAAATATGAAATATTCTATAAATCTTAATATATTAAGAAAACACTAAGTCTTCAAAACGTGTTTTATTGTTAATACAAGAAAGGAAAAAAAAACAAGGATTATATACAACATCCGTTTGTCAGAAAAATAAGTGTTGGTTTTAATAAGGTAGTAAACAATATTTTTTTAAAAAGATAATAGCTGTACATAGACAAGACACACTTTAGAACTGCTATTTAGAATTATAAATTTTCAATATAGACATAGAATTCTGAAACTAGACACAGAGTTCTTCTTATGGTGTTTCATTCTTTTAAAATAAGAAAACTAAGAGAAAAATAATCAAAAAGATTTTTAAAATTTCAGTCTGGAAAGAGATGCCTAGACAATACTAAATTCTAACCAGTGCCAAAAAAGGTTGAGATGCCCTTAAAATAGCATATTTTTCATGTCAAAAATATTATTAACATAATAAATTGAATCAGTTAAAAAAGGCTTCCAAAATGTATTTTATAATTTAAAAAGGTAAAACAAAAATCAACCAGAGAACCCGAGAGGTTTTATGTTTCACAGTTTTCATTTATTACTGTTTGGACAGCCAATTGATATCAGTTACACAGTTTCATTGTGGTCAAGTCATTTTGTGGCAATAGTGGAGAATTTTTACATATTTAGGATAAGGTAGTAATAAAAATGAGCTTATAAAAAGGTCATTCTGATTTACAAATGTTAAGCTACTAAATGAGCTAGCAGATTGTTACCTGTCACTGGATTCCAAATTACCGAAATTTTGAGACAGAAATACAAAAATTATATTAACTTAAATGGGGAAGGCAATGTAATGACCATCGAGTCCAATTTCTCAATGAATATAAGGATTGTAAGGTCCAGAGAGGTTAAGAGACTTGTCAAAAATCACCCATTTCGTAAATGACAGAACTAAAATGAGAACCTAATTTTCTCACTTTCCTTGTTCTCCTTGATAGAAATATGGGGCTAGCCTCTCTATCATTTCAGTTCCGTCTTTTTAAAAGAAGAGTCATTCCTTATCTGATCTCTGGAAAAAGAAAAGAAGGCAGGATAACATAGAAGGGTATCTGATGTTTTATCTCAGCACCTTTCTTTTACCTACTCCCATGTCCCTTAAATATATTAAACAAGAAAGGAAAAAAGATATGATTAACAAATCAAAATGTATTCTATGGTAGAGCAGAGATGCATAAAATCCAATACCACTAAGTACCAATGATAATTTTCAAAAAGAATACCAGAATATGAGGATAGTATGACTGATATCGGTGACCCTCTAAAAATTGGAAATGTGCTTCTTTTACCCATTAATGACTACTGCAGAGTGTCCAAATCTGTTGACGTCTCTATGAAGATTTGGTTTTGGTAGTATTTTCCATTCATCACAAGCTAGAAAAAAGAGAACAGAAAACCAAAAAATGAAATAAAATAATAAACTAAGACAAATAACATAAAAACATCATTGGCCAAATTAAAGATATACTATGCACAAGCAGGAAGCCAAAAAAAAAATTCTCACTAATTTTCCATGACCTTCAATTTAGCATAATTACTCAACTAGCACTATTCCTTAAATAAAAATAACTCTTGCCAAGAATTCCCATAAATAATTTTAAGCATATGAGAATAAGAAAATGAAAGGAATGAACGTAGAGGTATTTTATATTGGAAGATAATTTCGAAGACATATCTTTATTAAATATACCAGGTAAAACTTATGAATGTCAGTATAGAGAATGCCTATTTGAAAGTTTAATACTGAATCAAATATTACATGTATGCATACAAAAGTAAATGGCATATATAATGTCCGCTGAAAGAATACCTAAAAATATAATCATCAGGATAAAACATTTAAATCACTTTAATGATTTGATATTTCAAAAGAAAAGCTTTTTTATGTAGAAGGGAATTATTTTAACTGCAAAATTTCTAGATAAAAAATGAAAATCATAAATTATGAACTATATAAAAACTATGGAAAGTGGTTAAGAAAAATGTGTATTTCAATATAAACTCAAAATTGACATATATACTAACATAAATTTGAGATTTAAAATAATTCATCATTCAATGACTAGTAACATTGTCAATACAGTGTTTTAGATTTCACCTTCTTAGAAATGTCATATCTATAAAGACATGCCTTAGTATTTCATAAAAGCATATAGATATAACAAGATATTTTAAAACAAATTAATTTTGTTTAGGTAAAAGCCTTTATGGAACAAGAAAATAATCTTAAGTATAGTTAGTTGTAAAAGTTAAAGTAATGAATTACTTGTTTTCTTATTTAAGTAATTATATCTATAACAATAATAAAATAAATTTGGTTTCAACTCAATATTTTATTAATGAATATCAAAAAGTTATAAAAACCAAAACTGTAAGTTTAGAAAATGATGTTGAAAGACTGAGAACAATAAAATACATGTTGATTTGTATATGCTAAAGTATACTCCAGGAAACACAAATCTCCACCGAAAAAGTGTATTCATTTAGTTTGTATAATCTGTCTTTTAAGTCCACAAGGTATATCTGCCTATTAAATACTCTCTAAACAGAGAGCGTAAAGGTACAACACCTAACCTAACTTTATGTAACAGTGTTTTCCCAATGTGTTGTCCAAAGGAGCACTTTTCACATAATGCCTATTAAGATCCTCAAGCGTCAATGCTCTGAAGATCACATTTTAGAAAATATTATTATAGAGGCCTATGATAAAGAATAACAGACTGCCAATTTTACATGTTAGAGTTTATTTAAGAAATGTACATTATATGTGTGTGGTACTGTTAGGTTGGTGCAAAAGAAATTATATAAAGTATAAATTGTATACTTGTATATATAAAGTATATATAAAAGTTTCAAAGTGTTTTCATCTGCATATCTTAAAATGCTCTTTATAAGAATCCAGTGAAATTGATTAAGCAGGTATTACCCTATGTTAGAAATGAAGAATCAGACCTATGGGAAGGTAAATAACTTGTATGAGGTCCATTTGATTAATGGATCATATAGTAATTCTGTGTGTAATTTTTTAAGAAACTGTCGTTCTGTTTTCCATAGTAGCTGGATCATTTTACGTTTTTACCAGTAATGCAAAAGGAACAAATATGTCTCCATGTCCTCATCAACCCTTGCTATTTTCTGTTTTTTGTATCATAGCCATCTTAATGAGTATGAATAAGTATACCACTGTGGTTTTGACTCGCATTCCCTAACGATTAGTGATGTTGAGCATCTTTCCATGTGCTTATTGGACATTTGTATATCTTTGGAGAAATGTCAATTACACAGCTCATTTAAATTTATAGATATTAAGTGGTACTGTGCAACCATTGTAACCATGTTAGATTTTTCCATGTTATGACTATATGAAATATTCACCCATTAAACTGTAAATGATTAGCCTTTTTTAAGATTTTTTTCCTATTACAGCTCATGTTGGTATATTCACTGTTATATGTATCTTGTGCATATTTTGAAGGTTTCTCCAGATTTCCAAGAGGTATAAGAAAAGACACAACTTCGATTTTACTAGATTTTCCCAGTTTGCTCCCCAAAGTAGTTGTGTTGACCCACATTAGCAGTGTACAACAGTTCCTCTTATTTTATGTTCTCTACAACATGTAGCTCTATTAGACTATAAACTTTTACCAATCTGATAAATGGCTTGATTTTGCATTTTTCCAGTTACTGGTGAGTCAACTTATTTTCACATGTATAGGTTATTTGTTTTAGTCTTCTATGAAATCACTGCTCAAGACTTGCACATTTTTCTATTTGCTTTTTGTCTTTTTCGTATTAATTTAAAGAATTCTTGATTAAATACTCTGGATACTAATCCTTTGCTGGCTATATGTATTACCATTTATTCTTCCATGCTACAGCATCTTTTTTTCACTTAGTTTATGAAATCTTGTTTTACAGAAAGTTGGTCTTACTTTTAGGTTACCTTATGATCTGTGCTTGTTTATTCAGTAAACTGAGATTTTAAAAATAATCTCTAACTTTCCAGTAAAAGTTTTCAGTTGGCTTTTACTATTTTGGTCTTCAATCTTTTTAGAACTTATTTTTGTATATCTGGTAAGCATCAAACTTAATTTTTCCCATATATATTTTCCAGATGGAAAATTTCCAATATATGTCCATGCACTAATTTTCCCAATTTTTGAACATTTATCCTTGACCCACTAACTTGTGCATCATTTAATTTCTGTACTGTTATGGTTTGCTTTTATTATTTTTAAATATATACATATGTGAAGCTCAAACGTCCAATATTTCTACAAGGCTTATCAAAAAAAAAAAAATCCACTGCCCCCTATCTTCCCAAAGCATATTCCAGATTCACAGAGGTAAGCACTTTTAATTCTAAATAAACAGCTAGAAAGAGTTTGTTTTTGTTTTTTTGTATTTTCATCTGTCCTAAACAGCATGCCTCATTCCCAGTTTCAGATATGTCTGACTTCCTTCTTCATAGAAGCTCTTACATAGACTTACACACACATACTTTCTCTCCCTCCATTCTTTATACCTTTATATTATAATTTTTTAGAGCAATATTCAGTTTCTTATTTGTTTTTTGGAGATGGGGTCTTGCTATATTGCCTAGGCTGGTCTAAATTAATTCCTGGTCTCAAGCAATCCTCCTGCCTCAGCCTCCAGAGTTTCTGAATTACAGGTGCACACCACCGCACTTAGCTAAAGTTCAGTTTTTACTATTTCTAATAGTATATATCTGTGATATTATTTACAGATAAGCCAGGTAGGATAATACATATTTATTCTTAAATAACTTCAAACTATACTACACGCTACCTGACTTCAAACTATACTACAAGGCTACAGTAACCAAAACAGCATGGTACTGGTACCAAAACAGAGATATAGACCAATGGAAAAGAAAAGAGGCCTCAGAAATAACACAACACGTCTATAACCATCTGATCTTTGACAAACCTGACAAAAACAAGAAATGAGGAAAGGATTCCCTATTTAATAAATGGTGGAGGCAAAACTAGTTAGCCATATGTAAAAAGCTGAAACTGTATTCCTTCCTTACACCTTATACAAAAATTGATTCAAGATGGATTAAAGACTTAAATGTTAGACCTAAAACCATAAAAACCCTAGAAGAAAACCTAGGCAATACCGTTCAGGACATAGGCATGGGCAAGGACTTCATGACTAAAACACCAAAGCAATGGCAACAAAAGCCAAAATAGACAAATGGGATCTAATTAAACTAAAGAGCTTCTGCACAGCAAAAGAAACTACCATCAGAGTGAACAGGCAACCTACAGAATGGGAGAAAATTTTTGCAATCTACCCATCTGACAAAGGACTAATAT